ATCGTAAAATAGTTTTTCGTTAATAACTTTTATTTTTACTAAGACACTTGTATTTTGTGTCTAAGTAGAGTTGTTCGAATGTAATTGTGTATATGTTACACGAATTATTTTTGATGTTATACATAATTTGATCTACACAGTTCAACATTATATGTATTTATGCGAAGTTCAGTTGAGTATCCAGTTCTTTTTCTATTTTCTATTTCCTCCGCAATATCTGCAATTTCTTTAATACTGTTGCGTCGACACCTAAATTATTTGAATTAAGGAGGTTTTTTACAACACAACTATGAGCGAGACTGAATGATTTACGGAAAAATGGAGGTTCTTTAGGCGTTCTAAAGGTCTCCTGTAGCAACATGTATGTAAATTGTCTCAACAAGATAGGGTACTTCAAATAAAACAAAATAATAAAATCTTAATTATTCAACAAAAATTTACAGAACTTAATGATTCAGCCTGGACAAAGAAAAACTCAAAATCCAATATCAATTCAATAAAATCAACGGCTTATTTAGAGTGGAGGAGCATCTACTACTTGCTATTTTGCTTAAAAAATAATAGTATATTTACAAGTAATATTATTATTATGAGTAAAAACTTTGTTATTTTATTCAATCCAAGCACGTCTTCTCAGAGACTCAAAAACACTTATATATATACAGTTTTGAATGACTACGCTAATTCTAAGGTTAATATTTACATTGATCGTTTCTCTTGAGGCTTTCTAAAAACAATCAAGCAATTAACGTTCGATGTCTCTAATTGTCTCCCTATTGTCTAGATAATTATTGTCCTCTAGATAATCAATATCGATGCGTGCAATAATATTAAAGAACGGTGGAAAAGTTTATGACACAACAAAAGGTAATGTTCATTCATAAATGAAATATTTCTAAATTAGCTTACAATACAAATTACACAAGAAAATAATTATGGAAGAATTATCATGTAAGAATTATCAAGGAGAATTATGGAAAGAGTATTCATGTAGAAATTAAGAATAAAAATTACGGAATTAAAGGATTTGATGTCACTACGGTAACAATACAATGAATATATGAAAGGATCCGAAATAAAGAGTCGATTGATTAAATCTGCTAAATTATTTTCTAAATCCTGTTCCTCATTATCGTATTGTTTTACATCATGCTCATTCAATTCATTTAATAGTTGTATATATGTGAGAGGTAAGATTTCAATTTCTTCCAATTCTTACAAATCATTTTTTGCCATAAGTGTCAAAACGTCCGACATTGCACAAAATTATACTATAACGATCACCCAAATTTTCTGGATGTTAAATGTATATTTATAGATTGTAAAGGCTTCTATATTGGGTATTTTATGTTCATAAAATTCATGCCCCAAAACAATAAATCGGTCACTTTAGGACATAACGATGATATCTCGACATCCTAAAGTGACCGATCAATTTTTCATTAGAAATTGATCGTCAAAAAAATGAATCGGTCCATTTAGGACGAAATATCTCGACCTCCAGTGATCCGATTCGCCTAGTCAAGTCGAATCGAATAGTATTATTTATATTCAAATTGGACCACTGAACGTTGAGATATTTCGTCCTAAATTGACTGATCAATTTATCTTAATGTCAAAAAAATGAATTGGTTACTTTAAGACGCAATATTTCGACGTCCAGTGATCCAATTTGAACAAAAATACTACCATTCGATTCGTCTAGTCGAGACAAATCGGATCACTGAATGTCAAGAATTAGATTCTTGCATATTGAGATGTATGTTATGAAATGACTGATTGTATTTGGGACATGAAAGATTATGAACATACAATATCTGATATAGAAAACTCACCAATCTACGTACAAGTATAAATGTACAAGCAATCAGGTGTCTTATTACATTTTACGCCCAGAAAATTCAGGTGACGACCCACCCGCGGGGTAATCCGACCCGGATCTGATCTCTACACTAGTGCTCCAACTGGGTCGAGTCTAATCCGTGACCCGACCCGGAACGCACATTTCGGGTCAGCCTAAAAATCGTTTCTCGTTCAATAGTCATTGAAATTAAACGAAAATTTGTGGATATATACACAATTACATTCCGAACAACTCTACTTAAGACACAAAATACAAGTGTTTTAGTAAAAATAAAGTTTATTAACGAAAACCCGATCCGATCCGATCCGAACAGAGCTTTAATCGACACCAATCCATTGTGAATATATACGTATATATCGATATACGTAGTTACCGAACTATTTATAATAATATAAAGATAGTTTTTATGATGTTGAAGCAATTTTTCATGACACACAATGTCGCTTACCATAGATACTGTATTGTTGCTATACATCAATTGCGATTTACTAGTATACATGAGTGAAGTGTTAGTGTTTTGTAAGATAGATGTGAACATATTTTGCATATACAATCGAATGGAAGATGCGGTGGAGAAACTGGACGCATAATGAAATAAACTTTTTGATTTCTTCGCAAACTCTTTGAATATAAATAATATGACCTCAATGTTAGTAACTACAGTCAAAACTGGATATAACGAAGGTGGTTGGATAATTAGTCAAAATTTTTGGAATCTTCGTTATATAATGATTTATTATGCTTTTTATAGTGAACTATTAAATTGTTGCGAAATTCAAACTTCGTTATATAGAGGTTTTAATTACCCTTCGTTATAACCAGTTAATTGATGAATAGCATATGAACTTTTTTGATTAATTATAAACAATAGTATGTTTTTTTAAGATTCAAGCGTTAATAAATACAAAAATTATCGTGACTTATTTTTACAGATAATGGCTTTAGATAATAAACGATATTAATTTACCTATCTCTTAAAATATAAATTTTTTGCTAATATACATGGCATGTTTTATTACAAGCTTCTCCTAACAGACTTATCCACCATGTTCTATCAGTGCTTATCACAGCTAGAGCAATTATAAAAATTCCTACCCCAACGCCACAAACGGTAAACCAAATGTGAATTATATTATCGACAAATTTAAATTTTTTTTCTACCCGGTGGTGTATGTATGCAAGAGCACTGTTGAATGACCATATGGCACAAAAGACTGAGAGGTATTTGCTCCGACAAAAAAATCCCCTTGGGGGTGTGAAGTAGGCGATGATTACTGATATCCAAGGAACTGCTATTGATGCTAAAGCAGTGAGTAAAACACGGTTATGTATGTGTTTTTTATATTCGTCGTCAAGTAATTTCTTCACAATTATTTCGCCCTTTCTTATCACGAGCTTAGGATCCCTTACTAACAATTTTCCATGAACTGTTCTCCTATAGATTGCAGGTAATGTCCAAGCTAATGCTAATGGTATATATGGCCAATCCTGACAAATACTCGTCACTGCCAGCCTTGCAATTGCTACAGCCGCACCGAGCACAATGTAGTATGCTGACGCTAATGAAGACAATCTTTCTATCACAGATGCATCTGCTGAACAAGATTCCAATCTTATCTTCAGAGATGTGTCCGTTCTTTCCTGCGCATTTGCACCGGATTCCAAGTCCACCTTCTCATTTTCATTCTCATTCTCCTTCTTATCATCAAGTATATCTATTCGCATAGCATGATGTCCGAAGGGTCTGTGAGTGATTCCTTTTCCATCTTCTCCAATAAAATAACTTTTTGGGAGCCAATATAGCACTGTTTCGTCGATCGTTATGTTGCAGGTGTAAAACAATCCCAAAAAGGGACAAGCAAGGCATTCTAATATCCGCCTTAGCTTTGTTATAAAAGTACCCTTAGGAGACGCTCCTATTGTTGCTATAGCTGGTAAGCAACATAAGACATACTGGGGTACAGGGTTTTGTAATTTATTGAATAAGTTTATCGCCAAAAATTTATTTTGTGCCATCTAAAATACAAAAATCAATTTTTTAAAAATACTTTCGTATATTTTTATAAATGACAAACAATGTGGTGGTTAAAAACACTAGTACGTACATGTATGAGGCAACATGTACCGGTACGCCAATAATGAGTACAAGACAGGAAGACGATCATGATGCACATGTATTGATTGTCTTACATTGTTGTCAATAATTCAAACTCTCCAATGGAATAAAAAACTTTGCGTGATTGATGGAAATTTTCGTTTAATGAGAAAATTCACTTAATCTTCATTGTAACCATAGTTTTCAATTGATTAAGTTTACAATTTGGGAGGATACAGAAAGTTGTGAGATCTCATAGTTTTACACGATCTTATTTTGTGTGCCTGTTCGTATCATCTGTCGGATGTGCCTTTTAAATGTACATGTATAATAATTTATTAATGAAAAATGAGTCATAATCATAGGAGCAGATACACAAAAAGAGTAATGTAAGATCTTTGATCATTATCATTATATGGTGCATACCATCTAAAGACATCAAGCGTTTGTATTTTATAAAATGGATAAACTTCTTACGTACTAAGAAGAAATACAAAATTTAATCCATAAATATGCTCAGAAAAGGCCTGTTATATCATATTTGCAGATTAAATTTTGTATCTACATCTCAGTAAAGAAGTTTATCCATTTTATAAATACAAACGATTGCTGGTATTCACCATATCAAGGATAACGATAACGGATAATCACCGATACTTATACGCATTTATCGGTATACTGTACATAGATTTAAAATCCTTTGACAACTAATAATCTTATCTTATAGTACTAACCCTAACCTTTACTCTAACTCTCCAGCACTAAAATTATGCTTTAACTCTATTCTAACTTGGCTGATTTCCATTTACGAATATAACCGACGCACATCCAGCATATGCATGCATACATGTAATTCTATTTTTGTCACACTACACGACTCCTTTTGTGTCCCCTAACTCCTATGTGAAAAATGAGGCAAATTATTTTTCGAAAGTTTTTGAACAACTCAATTAAATGTATCGTTCTACAAACCTGAGACTTTAATTAGTAACATGATATGCATTAACCAATCCAGTTGATATGTACAATAAGTACATGTGTTGTTCTATACTTGTAGTATTATTTTACACTGATTTTACTGATTAAAAGTGTAAAACAACATAGGGTTTGTAAAGCAACACATTTATTGTGTTGCTTTAGGCTTTCAAAACTGCCCGATGACGTATTTCTTTTTGCGTTTTAGGAATCCAGCATTTTCTAAGGTCAAGTATTGTTAAGATAAAATATTGAAAAGAATAATATAAATATTAAATTAGTGTTCTATGTTTCTGGATTCCATGTTAATAATCAGTATCGGTATATTATAGATGTATGTCTTAGATATGCATTAATAACAAAAAATATACTTGGACAAAAGACGAATTAATGATCATAATCGTTCACTGATCTCTCCACAACGCGCGTAATGATTAATTAGTAAAATAAACTGATACAAAGTAAAAATTTATTTATATTTGTTTTTACATATTGTATTTATCTCTCGATACGCGTTGATGATCATATTAAATATCTTAATTATGAGCAATGCTCCTCGTAAATTTTTTACGCCTGCAAACAAAAACCATACAGCAGACATATAAATTACTAACGAATATTCCAACCTAAGTTCATCATTACATTCAGAGTAGCTAACCTCTTCAGGATTCTATTCGCATTATATTCATTGTTGAAAATCAAAACACTAATAAGGTTACAGAAAAATTCCTTTTTGTCAAAATTGGTTACCGTTTTCCTTAATAAATATCACATACCTTTGTTCCTGAATCCTTGGTGAATATGACATACCTTAGTTCCTGAATCCTTAAATAGTAATTGTTACGGTTCAGGATACGTAATAATTACAACATAGAAGTAACAGTAATATGAGCAATACCAAATCATTGTATTAAATGTTGCAGTCTTGTATCTCAATTTTTTACTATGAATCATAGCACTAAATATATGACTGTATTTCAAGGGATATTATGCTCCCATACTGAATCATCAGAGCATCCATACAGTGGTAAAGACACTTACCGAAAATAATGAACAAACATGGTATATACTAATATACAGTAGCACACACATGTAACGGAACACGAAAATTAACTTTCTAAAATTTTTATTTCCATGACTATTAGTTTGAACAAAGTAAAAAAGTGTTCATTTGAAACTTTGAAACCTTTAATATTTTTTTTAAATAATTTGACGACAGATTATTTTGTGGAATAGAGTGAATTAAATCAAAATGTACAATTAGTAAATTTCTCACATTGAATAACTTTTTTTTTCCAAGACAGATCCTAATTTAAACCACTAATTAAAAATGTTCTACTCTATGAAATCTAATTAGTTACCAATTTTCATAATCGGCTTAATTTATAGATATTTAAGATCCTAAAGTCCGAATCTATGCTAAGAGCATTAATACATGAAATAATGCTCCTAGCATAAATTCGGTGAATTTTGGGCCAATTTTTATGAAAGTTGGTAAATAGGTAGATTTTATAGAGTAAACCATTTTTAATTAGTGGTTCAAATTAGGATCTGTCTTGAAAAAGATGTTCAATATGAGAAATTAACTAATTGTAAATTTTGATTTAATTCACTCTATTTCACAAAATAATCTGTTGTCAAATTATTTAAAAAATATTAGAGGTTTCAAAGTTTCAAATGAACACTTTTTTATTTTGTTTAAACTAATAGTCATGGAAATAAAAATTCTAGAAAGTTAATTTTCGTGTTCCGTTACATGTGTGTGCTACTGTACGTCGTTTCGGAATTAACATCAATTCCGGTTCGAATTCCAAAATGATGTGTGTTATTTTGGAATTCGAAATTAACGTGCGTCGTTTTGGAATTCCAAAATGACGCAGCTATATCTTTGTACGGAAATTCAAATTATTGTAATTATTGTAATAAATGTTAAATATGTTTAGCGTTAGCGTTAGTAATTTCTTTGTGCCAGTGATACAAAGTGCGCGACAAATACGTGTGTTTAAATTGTTATTTATGATCCCGAAATGGATATAGCACAAGCCGACACGCGAAAAAAACGAGTTACAGGAAAAGTCTAGCTTGGAGCATTAATAAAAAATATCGAGATGATTTTACATATAATCTTAGTCCTGTCCTGACCCTAACATGCGAGATTCAGTAATACAAAGCACATGACAGGACCAATATAATATATAAAAATCACCTGCGAAGAAATTATTGAGCGTCTTAAATTAGAAAAGCAATTAGATTACAAAAAACCATTCCTACATAAACAAACAAATCACTCAAATGCAGTCTATACCAGTCGAATCTTCGCTAAAAAATTGATTTCAATTCTAACTGAGACAGGTACTTTTTATTTCTCAATATGAATCGTATTGACATTTCATATTAATTAAAATTTATATCAAATGTTTAGGAATGTCAAGTTTCAGTTTGTTCCAAACGAAGGTAAAATTGCATTTATTAATTTTTCTTTAATACATTGTCATTTATTCTTTGTTGGTACAAACAGATTTCGATTTTTTTTATATCAAATGAAATCAAAGAGAAATACTACAATATAATAGGAAGAATACTCTTTGTTGAAAGAAAATGTTAACTACTTTTAAAATGTTGATTTCATTAAGCTAACACCTAAAGTCATCAAACATTTATATTTTATAAAATGTAAGAAATAAATTAAAAATTTGATCAATAAATATAATCAACCGCAAAAGTATCTGATCCTCCCCCAACTTTCAAAATTTTCCGAGCACAAAGAACATGCAAACATTAATCACTCATGCCTTTTATTGTTATAGCGAATATCAGTATGCTATGGATAACTGGATGTTCATGGTATTGATCAAATGTCATACGAGTCCTACGATAAAACGTACAGTACAAGTTCTTAAAGAAGTAACGTATAGTGAAAAAAATCAATGCGTACATACGCATACGCATTTGTATCCCTATTGGATGGATTACACGTGTTCACCACACTTTAGCGCATCTCCCATTGTGGGAAGTTTCAATAGCAATAATACATGTATAAGTAGAGACATTAATCAGGTGATTTCCGGTTAATAGAAAGCTTACCTCCTTCCTTCCCATCTGGTTTTGATCTACACCTGATGTTTGTTCAGACCCCCTCTTCCTAAAAAATCACCTAATTAATGTCTCTACCCGGCAAAACAAATCCGACACAAGAAATGAAAAAACAAAAAATGTGAAAATACAGGAAACAGATGTTTGAAATCTAGCTTGTTACACTAATGTAAAATACCAGGAAGACAATTTTGTATATAAACTTGATCTCAGCTCTAACCCTGACCCTAATCCTAACCTCTAAATTAACCTTTAACAATAATTTTTATCACCTTAGAATTTTTCCGGACATACAACACACTCCTACAATATATTACCGGAAGTTTCAAAATGAATTTATCACTTTGGAACTCGATATCTCGACATCTGGTGATCCCATTCGAACAAAGGCACCACATTAGATTCGACTATACGAATCTAATGGTTGTATCTTGTTCAAATCGGATCACTGGATGTCGAGATAACAAGTTCCAAAATGATAATTCATTTTTGAAATTTCGGTAGTATATTGTAGGGTGTGTATTACATATAGCGTAATGCAAATATTGTATATAAAAATCACGCGAAACTTCCCACAATGTTTTCTTTAATTACCCAGGAATGCATACTTTACAAATAGCATCAAAACACTGAGTCTATGCACTCTTTACACAACTAGGGTCATTTTATAGTAATTTATTATGATGCGTATATATAATTTGTTGCATTATTCTAATCAGTAGCATAGAATACAAATGCGTAGCATATTGTATGTATGTATTGTATGTTGTACGCATTGATTTTTTCATCATACGTTACTTCTTTAAGAACTTGTACCGAACGTTACCATAACACCGATGTCATAGTATGGATCGGAGAATGTGAATATGGATAACTCTGATCAGTATGGTATGATATAAATAAAAAAAGCGACCATACTGATCAGTATGCTTTTGAATTCCAGCCGAACCATACTGATCAGCAATTATATACACATATATTATACTGAAAACATGTACATAAAATAAATACATGCAATATTCGGTAGCCTAACATTATCTATTGGTTAAATTAAATACATGTACTTCATGTGTGACTTTTAAAAATTGTTATGATAATGAGTGTTAACTCTATATATTGATGAATTACTCATGCAATTAAAGCCATGGTGCATAACATCTAAAGTCATTAAACGTTTGTATTTTATAAAATGGATAAACTTCTTTACTAAGTAAATACTAAATTTAATCTGTGAATATGCTCAGAAGGGCCTATTCAATCGTATTTACGGATTAAAATTCGTATTTACTTCTTAGTAAAAATGTTTATACATTTTATAAAATACAAAAGTTTGATAATTTTAGATGTTATGCACCATAGTGATTTTTATTATTAATATCAGAAAAACTACGTACATATTTTACATTCTTAATTAGTTTCTAAATCAACATCTGATTCTCTTTCTTTTTCAATATTAGCTAATACTTAAGCATGAAGTGCTGCTTCTTTTGTTTGTTTCTATAATTAAAAGCACTTTTTGTGCTAAAATACAAGTTCTATTAATTCAAGTTTTTTTTTAATTTTTCTCAAGATTATCTAGCTCTTTATTATTTATAGTAATAATATTTTCAAATGTATTAGAATCAGTATTTGAATGAATTTTGTTACCTAATACTTATAAATATTTTTTTTATGTTTTTGATTTCTGTTTTTTTGTCATCATTTATATCTTAGTGTTAACATTTTTTAGTGTGTTATATATATTTAAATCTCTATTTAGGTTGAATTAGATCAGGTTTGATCTAAAAATTGTAAAATAGTTTGTTGTTAATAACTTTTATTTTTACTAAAACACTTATATTTGTGTTTAAATAGAATTATTCAAAATGTAATTGTGTATATACCCACAAATTTTTGTTTAATTCCAATTAATATTGAATGAGAAATAATGTTTTTTAGACTAACTCAAAATATTTTGGATCAGATTTGATTTCAATTTGATCTAATTCAAAATGTATATTACGGATCAGATCATAAATTAAATCTGATTTGATTGGAATACTATATATATTATACATAAAATCACATTGAGAGCAACAATAACAAAAATGTGAGATGATAATAGCAATATCTATATAATAAATAATATAATTATTCAAATATTTACCTATATATTTAATAAATTAAATAGTTTTTATTATAAGTTCTGATAATTATCCAGTTTTTGAAACTCTATTTATCTTGACATTTATATATTGTTAAGTAATACTCATCCAATTATTTTTTTATAATTTTATTTATATATTTTATATATATATAATGTCAATAAAAATAATGCAATAACATCAAAATTTATTAATTAAATATAGTAAAATGCAAGTTTTAATTTTACTAAAAAATAATTTTTATTTTTAGATTAAAATAAAAATAATATATTATCCTACTATAAATCACTGTGCATATAAAAATTTTGATAATAAAATATAATATAAGTTAAAATTTTTATTTTATAAAGAAGTTTTTATTTTAATTAATTAATAATTTTTGTTTTTATATTAAAATAAAGCTAAAAATCTATATTAAACTATAGATTCTTAGCTTTATTTACAGAAAATTCCCATCACGATCTTTTACAATGCTATTATAGATTTTTTAGCAAAATAGCAGTATAATATTATAAATTCTTCCTGACATGCAAATAAAAACAACAGGCTTCCCTTTTGGTATATAGCACAAAAATATGATCTTTCCCATGTCTGCTTTTGTCAAAATATAGCATTTGTCATCAATTTTTAGCATCTTTCTTCAACATTTGTCATTGCTTCTCATTATCTTTCAGCATCTTTACATCATCTTTCAGCATTCCCTTATCATTTTTAGCATCTTCTCATTATTCTTCAGCATAATTCCATCAGTTTTCAATTTGTCTTATATCAGTTTCTTTCATAGATATCAAAGTGTTCAATATAAACATTTTTATAACTAAAGTAGTATTAAAAGTAGTAAATGATATGAACCACAAAAAATATATAAAAGAATGACCTATGGGCTACTAATAAAGAATAGAATTCATATTGCGAACACTTATTCTCCAAGTAAGCTACTTGTAAAAAGCGAATTCACATTGCGTACAATTGTTCTCCAAGCAAATTAAACTTGAATTATTGCGTACAATTATTCTCCCCTGAGTAAATTATCAATTATAAAATTCTTTCCCCCGTTTCTCACACATTAATCGTTATATTGATTATCATTTGCACCAGAAAAGGCATTGTTTTATGTAGATTCGCATTGTTAATGAAAACCGTTTTGTGTAATCGTAATTATCGTTATTATTTTTAAGAGTTTAAGGCTTTTATCTATAAAAAGCAATAGTAAAAGAATCCCTGAACACTCACCTAAAACACGTAGTCTCTCTCTTCCCCCAAAAATCAATGTAAGAAACGATATCCGTAGATATCGGCACAGGCACTAGATACCGAAATAAACATCACTCAGTCTAATAATCTCCCAAAGTCTTGTTGCGTTAGAAATCCCTCAATTCGCCCCAACTTAACTAAAAGCGCAACACTATGTACGTAGTGAACTGCGGGACGCAAAAAATGGGGGGGGGGGGTGCTGATCATCTGGGTTGACTGTAAAGTGTGTGCGTAAATGCATGAAAATGTGTACGTATCGGTCCAGATATCGATATGTCTGTAGATACATGTAAAAAGTGGCCTTTTTATCGTTATAAGTACATGTATATTTACAGACATTTCTGTATTTTTATCGAAATTTACAGGCATATTTTATAATGGATCCCTTTTAGGAAACAATTGATTAAACTGGAAGGTTCGCTTTGATATTTTTGATAGGACAGATCGTGGTGATTTGATTTCTCAAGTAGATTTATAAAACTCTGGTTAACCAAAAGTGTTCAGATAATTATTTATTATATTTCATTACAATCTTTCGCATACATTATTTTTGACACCAACTATAAATTTCTTCGCGTCATTCGAGCCTTTCAACCGAAAGCAAAAATATTCAACGAGTATAAGATTATATTTGCATGGATTACGAAAATTATGCCAAATTCATGTAATAATATAAAGATTGCTTCTTTTGATGTTGAAGCACATTTTCATGACACCCAAATGTCTCTTACCATAGATACTGTATCGCTGCTATGCATAAATTGCGATTTACTAGTGGAGAGTTAGTGTTTTGCGAGCATATTTGTAGATGCAATCGAACGAAAGATGCGGTGAAGAAATTGGACGCATAATGAAATAAACTTTTTGATTTCTTCGCAAAACTCTTTGAATATAAATAATATAACCTCGATGCTTGTAACTAGTTTATTGAAGATTCTATGAACTTTTTTGACTAAATACATTGAAACAATAATAGATTGATGGTATTTTTTTTAATATTCAAGCGTTAAAAGATACAAAAATTTTTGTGACTTAAGAATTGGTATTTTTAAAGATAATGGCTTTAGATAATAAAACGATGTTAATTTACCCATCTCTTAAAATGTAAATTTTTTTTCATGGCATGTATTACCACAAGTTTCTCCGAACAGTCTAATCCACCATTCTCTTTCTATGCTTAGCAAACCTAGAACAATCAAGAGCATTGCTATCCCAACACCACAAGCGGAAAACCAAATGCGAATTATACGATTAACAAGTTTATTATTTTCTCCTACCCAGTGGTGTATATATGCAACAATACAGTTGAATGTCCAGATGGTACAAAAGACTGTGAGATATTTACTCCGACAAAAAAATCCTTTTGGGGGTGTGAAGTAGGCCAAGATTACTGATAACCAAGGAACTGCTATTGACGCTAAAACAGTAAGTACAACGCAGCTATGCATATGTTCTCTATCTTCGTCGTAAACGAATTTCTGCATAGTTATTTTTCCGTCTCCTATCGCTACTTTAGGATCGTCTACCAACAGTCTTGCATTAACTGTTCTCCTGTAGATGGCAGGCAATGTCCAGGCTAATGCTAATGGTATATATGGCCAATCCTCACAAATACTCGGCACTAACACCCTTGATATTCCTACAATCAAACCGAGTATAATGTAGTATGCTGATGCCAACGAAGAGAATCTTTCCATCACGGATGCATTTGTCATGCAATCTTCCAATTTTTCCAGCACAGCTCTATTTGCATCGGAATATTTCATTTCCATAGCGTGATGTCCGAAAGGTTTGTAAGGGATATTGCTTCCATCCACTCCAATAAAACAACTTTTTGGGAGCCAGTATAGCGCTGTTTCGTCGTTCTTTATGTTGCAGGTGTAAAACAATCCCAAAAAGGGACAAGCAAGACATCGTAATGTCCTCATTAGCTTTTGTGGTAACTTTCCCTTAGGTGATGCCCCTATTGTAAATATAGCTGGAAAGCAACCTACGACAAATGCAGGTATAGGTAATTCAAAGTTCAACAATTTTCTTAAGAGTGGATGCATCTGAAATAAGAACATAAATTTTTTTAATAAAATATCATATTTCATATATCAAAATCACGAATAAATGAAAAATGATTATATACTTCGAAGATTAAATAGTAATTTTCGCAATTGAAGAATAAAAAGCACTTAGAAACGACACTATATATATATATAAAAAATTAGGCAACTAAAACTTTATTTTGTTAACGTGTTAAATTGCATCCAAATCTTTCTTGAATGCCCTATATTTTATTTGTATATACAGTCAGACTTCTTTATACTGATATATCTGGAAACAGATACAAATAAACTTCGTTAATAAAGGAACCTTTTCTTATCGAGATTACCATAAAAGAATCATCATAAGGAGCCTTGACTATACTTGAATGTAACCGCAATGGTAAAACCTTGAAAAGACTACACCACAATGAAACTTGCATTCGATGCCGGTTTCTCAAACCCATAATCAGATAGTTCCAAAAATGTTTACCCAGCATAAGCCAACGAATTTTCGACTGCACATAGATGTGCTGGGTAGCAAAAGCCAATAAGGGAGCGTAAAATTTTGATCAGCTTGGAGAAACAAATCCGACACAAGAAAAAGAAAAATGTGAAAAATACGGGGTACTAATTAAAATCTCGGAAAGATGATTTTACATATAATCTTTGCTCTGAACCTAACCCAAAACGTAACTCTAGCCCATAACACGCATTTTAGTACAGGCACACTCGCCGTATTTAAGATGTGTCAATGCTGGATATCAAAAACAAAACCTATAACGATAACTGTAGATCTATCAAAAACGTAACTTTTGCGGTTACGTATTTCGTATGAAAATCACCAGAGAACTGGACCATAACGGACTCTAGCACAAGAACAATGAATACAAGACAGGAAATATCTATCGCTATACGTAATCAGACCGAACTCAGGACCCTTAACATCATTAATGGAAATGTTCAATAGGAAGGAAAACAATGAGACGCTCATAATATGTACGTATCGATATTGTGTGTTATACATGTACGTACATGAAATGTTGTCGATAAAAATGGTTTACCATTTTTATTCACATCTTCCAACAAAAAAACATATTTACATAATTGACAGCAATTCTCGCAATAAGTTTTTCCCAAGCAGAAATCACTCGTAGCTTTATACGATCTCATTTTACACACTTGTGCGTGCAGCGAGTGTTTTTTGTATGTCTTTTTTTGTCATCTGTCTAAAGATAAGTTATAAACCAACAAATTTACTAATTATAATCGTTCATCGATTTCTTCACAACACGTAGCGATGCAGTTCAGAGCAACCTAAACTTGTTTGGCTGAGATAATTTTTTAATAATAAAAGAAAGAAACTTAAATAAAAAATTAATATTTGTTCTCAACACGCGCCGATGATCTTATTAAAATACCACTCAAATGCTTTTTTCTTATCTTGTTGCGTCCCAATACCATTTTGTAAACAAAAGCCAAGATTTCATTGTCCTTTAGCATTTCCACCTTCTGCTGATTTCAGATACCACTCAAATGCTACTATTCTAAATACTGGAGTACCAATGCCATTTTGATAACAAATGCCAAGATTAGATTGTTCTTCTAAATCTTTGTTCCTATATTTTGGCGTTCCAATACCATTTTGATAATAGAAACCAAGTTTACATTGTCCTTCAGCATCTCCACCTTCTGCTGATTTTAAATACCACTCAAAAGCCCTTTTCCTATATTTTAGCGTCCCAATCCCATTTTGATAACAGAAACCGAGTTTGCATTATCCTTTAGCATCTCCACCTTCTGCCGATTTCAAAAACTACTCAAATGCTTTTTTATCATCTTTTTGCGTCCCAACACCATTTTGATAATAAATACCAAGAGCGCATTAAGCATCTCCACCTACAGCCGTTTTCAAATACCACTCGAATGCTTTTTTAACATCTTTTTGTGTCCCAATACCATTTTGATAACAAAAGCCAAGATTGCATTGTCCTTTAGCATTCCGCCCTTTGCCGATTTCAAAAGCCACTCGAATGCTTTTTCATTATCTTTCTGCACCCAATACCATTTTGATAATTAATGCCAAGAGCGCATTGTCTTTCAGCATCTCCCCCCTTAACAGATTTCAAAAACCACTCGAATGCTTTTTCGTTGTCTTTTTGAGTCGCAATACCATATTGATAATAGAAACCGAGTTTGTATTTTCCTTTAGCATCTCCACCTTCTGCCGATTTCAAATACCACTCAAAAGCTTTTTTCTTATCTCTTTGCGTTCCAATGCCATTTTGAAAACAAATGCCAAGATTGCATTGCCCTTTAGAATCTCCACCTCCTGCCGATTTCAAATACCACTCAAATGCTTCTTCATCATCTTTTTGCGTCCCAATACCATTTTGATAATAAAAGCCAAGTTTGAATTGTCCTTCAGCATCTCCACCTTCTGCTGATTTTAAATACCATTCAAAAGCTTTTGTCTTATCTTTTAGCGTCCCAATACCATTCTGATAACAAAAACCAAGATTGTATTGTCCTTTAGCATCACCGCCCTCTGCCGATTTCAAATATCACTCAAAAGCCTTTCCTTTTATCGTTAAGTGTACCAAACACCATTGTAGTAACAAAATCCGAGTGAATAATGAGCAATCGTATTATTTTTCTCTGCTGAATTTTGATAAAATTTAAAAGCAATTTCAAAATTCTGTTCAGGTTTTTTCCCAAATGATGCAAAAAACCACACAAGACGTTATATGTAATATTCGACTCTAATATTTGCATTAATTTTTCCACTTTCTGTTAATTCTTGGATAAATATTCGCATTTGACTTGCAGTTTCATTTAAATCTTGCGAAGAATGAAGAGAAAATAAATATTTCTTTGAAAGTTGAATCGTTTTCTTTTCTGTCGAATTTCACAATCAGATTAGAGACAATAATTTTACTCATTTTCAAATTATTCTTCGCAGAAATGTTTTAAGATAAAGTCTCTTGTACATGTATCGGTACGTATTCAACAATCAATTAGCGTTTTCGGCATGTGTATTACATACTGATACTGTTATGTCTTCTCGAAAGTTTGTTTAACTAACGAAAAAGATGTTAACACGATAGTTGTGAGCTAAACTGAATGATTTACTTAAAGAGGAGTTCTATAAAGGTTCTAAAGGTCTCCTGTGATGATTTTTACGAAAATTAACACAAATGAAAGTAAGGTCTTTTTAAGTAAAAGTTTTTTCGGGTAAATACTAACTAAACTTTAATTGCTTTAATTAACAAGTAGGATTTATTGATACGACCTACAAAATAAATCAATGTTCACAAATATCAAAAAGCGCTTTAACACAAAAGAGTTGGACTTATTGATGCGGCCAACAAGATACTATAATTCCAA